GCCGTCCATTGGTTGTAAGTCATGTGACCTAGGTCACATGACCATAGCAGGTGGACTAAGCCTCGTTAAACTATTGTAAGACCCGGTCAACTCGTGCACTAACTTAGGTTTGACGTCAAAATAGTTGTTAGTACCTGCACGCCAGGCAGGTGATTCCTAAGTTATATAAATACAGTATGTTTCGTGTTCGAAAATCAGTTATAGTTATTATCGCTTCTCAAAATAACTCGTGTTCTCTCGCCTCTCAATAAAGGTAAACTAAAAACTAGAAGAACTCAACTAGAAGTAGAAGAACTCAACCAAAAGAAACACTTAAGAAGAGCTATTAACACCAAGGCCAGGGTGGCGAGGATGTAACCAATCGCTAACCAAAGATGACCAAAGCTAGACTCTAGAGCTTGTGTTGTTTCCGAAATATTCAAGTATATCATTTTCACTTCAACTTCAAATTGAAAAGAACAAATAAAATATTCAATTGCATTTCCAAAATATATAAAAGGGGGGGTGTCACGTCCGTCTATGTCCGCTTGTCTCATAGAATCCAAAAAGGACAGGACATAGGCGGACATAGGCGGACATAGGTGGACATAGACGGACATAGGCGGACATAGGCGGACATAGACGGACATAGGCGGACATAGACGGACATATACGGACATTAGCGGACATTAATGGACACCTAAATTGCTAAATAAAATGTTCAATTTTTGCTGTTATAGGGGGGATCATGTTTTTTGTCCGTTGGGTACCCTATATTTTCAAAACGGACAAAAAATAGAGCGGACAAAGACGGACAAAAATGGACAAAAACGGACAAAAATGGAAATAACTTTTAGATGCTTCCTCCTCCTACTCTTCCTCCTCCTCCTGGGTCTTCCTGATCTTCCTCAGTCCTCTTCCTCCTCCCCTCCTCAGTCCTCCTCCTACTCCTCCTCCTCGTCCTCAGTCCTCCTCATCAGTCCTCAACAGTCCTCCTCCTCCCCAGTCCTCCTCCTCCTCCTGAGTCCTCCTCCTGGGTCAACCTCCTGGGTCCTCTTCCTCCTCTTCATCCTCCTCCTCTTCCTCCTCAGTCCTCAGTCCTCCTCAGTCCTCCTCCTCATCCTTCTCCTCAGTCCTCCATCCTCCTCCTCAGTCCTCCCCCAGTCCCCCTCCTCCTCCTCCTATTCAGTTCTCCTCCTCCTCCTCAGTCATCCTCCTCAGTCCTCCTCAGTCCTCCTCCTCCTGGGTCCTCCTCCTCTTCTTCATCCTCCTCCTCTTCCTCCTCGGTCCTCGGTCCTCCTCCTCAGTCCTCCTCCTCCTCAGTCCTCTCCCAGTCCCCCTCCTTCTCCTCCTCCTATTCAGTCCTCCTCCTGATCCTCCTCCTCCTCCTCCTCGTGTAGCACGATAACGTCAAGCTGTATGTGGCCCTTTAGTGCATCGCAAGAGCGTACAAAGGACGAAAAATGGGTAATTTATTGCTTAAAATGCCTATAACTCCTAACATATTAAATATTTTGAAATAATTCATACTGGATCCTGGATCGTAATGAACTTAGTCAGACGCAACTTTTAGTACCAAAATTATTTCAAAAATTTCAAAAATTTGTTCAAAATTTCACACCAGGGTTCACATCTGTGTTCGATTAAAAATGTTTGAAAATAATTTTCCTTTAAATCTTAAAATATTAGTACTAAAAGTTTCGTCTCAATGAGCTGATTACGATGCCATAATAATTATGTAATAATAACTGAAAATTTACTGGGCCGCGCTCAGCCTGTCATTCCGCCAAATCTATATCTATATATGATTGATTTTGGACACGAAGGGAAACACACAAATTATATTTATATATCTATATATAGTTAATGAACATAATAGCCTGGGGTCCTCAGGTAACTGAAAATGTGAAAGTTATAGGCCAAAAACTAAAACTTTGCGCAAAAAAAGCACGCGCGGCAAACAGCAAACAAGCGCCGTGTAGCATTTTAGCGAAAATTGCTACACGGTGGATTTATTTTATTCACATTTTTGGACAACTTTTGGTACCAAATTTATCGAAATCGGAGAAAAAAAGTTCTTTGCTCGCGCTTTTGCTCTAACCAGAGCTGAGCCCTTTCGCTTGCAGTAGCGCGCGACCGCCGTACGCGTAGGCACATGGCTATGTGAACTCACGCTTGGCGCTTATTGCACTGACTAGCCGGCTAGGCCGCGCCGGCGTTCGACGTAATGGCTAATTCCTAAATCGAACGCGTTCGATTTAATTTTTGCGTTCGATCTAATTACATTTTGGTGACGGTAAAAAAATTACAAATATACAATATATATACATATCGTAATACTAAAAGTAATTGGAGGACTTCGACGCTTCGACGCGCCGCGCGAACTAGCATTCTTGCTTCGCATCGTCGTCGATCGTTGCTCTGCTTCGCAGAATCAAACCAGGGAGCATGGGGAACAAAGCTTATAGTCTTTTGGACCAAAGGTGCATGTTCATCGAGGACACTACCAATACATTGTTCACAAGATTCAACAAAGCAGTCTGCCAATTCATAGTCAGAGGAACACATCAGCAAATCAATTGCCAACTGATCACAATCCACGGTTTTAAGCTGTCTAGTGTTGATTGTTTTAGGAGCTTTGAGGTTAGTTTGAAACTTCTTGGTGGCAAATATAATGGGGAAGTGATCACTCAGGGTACAGTTTTTCAGGATTTCAATTGTAGACGTTTCAATCAAGTTACTCTGGTCAAAGAGCAGGTCAATAGTTCCTCCACTCATGTGGGTCGGATTTTCAATAAGTTGCTTGAAACCATAAGATGAGGTGGTCTGCAGCAGTTCAGTTGAGTTTACAGTAATTGACTCTGTGTGAATATTGAAATTTGAAATCTCCTCCAATTATTATATAGTCACTTTTCAGACTTGCAGAACCCAATAAGTCATCAAGTTCCTCAAAGAACTTCTTTGAGACAGGGCCAGTTCGATAGATGCATAGGACAAGGATCTTCATGTCAGGAGTGCACTTTATAGATCCAGCGATGAATTCAAAGGTTGTCAGGTTCGGAACTTTCAAATTAACAACAGAGAAATGTAATGCCATGTTGTAAATCAGAGCAGTGCCACCACCTCTGTTCTTTGCTCTGAAATCATGAACAATACTGTAGCCATATGATTTTATAACTGCTGTTGTAGTATTGCCTTGGTCAGATAACCATGTTTCAGTTACAATAGCAACGTCTACATCATGGTCTTGAAGTAAGCACATAATGTCGTCACACTTATTATTAAGACTTCTAGTATTCCAGATCATATATCGAAGTTGATGCAATTTCTTTGGTTTGGAGGAAACTAGTTTTTTGAATAATAAGATAGGGAGGCTTTAAGTTTCTCTTGCTGAACCCGGTAAGAAGGACACTCAGTAGAAAATGCAGCATGTTTACATAAATCATCAGGTGAGCCAGACTTTTTTGCAGATGTTTATAGTATCTCCAGAGGTTCCCAGTTGTCGGGGATATGTAATGATTGGTTCCCAGTTCGGAGCTGATTGGATTTCCCAAACTTACATGTTAATTAGCTAACAGGTCATTTAGCCAGACATGAAGAACTTCTGAGTCATCAACTTCTCTTCTGGGAACCCCTTCAAGGACATCGTCGAAAGGGAGACCACACCTCACATATATTGACATCCTTCGGAAGGACACAGGGCTTGACGACAGCAAGGAGATTAACAAACTCATGCTGGATAGACAGATTTGGAAAAAAACTATCTCTGTTTGGACGTTGAAGCCGCTCTAAGTCGAGTAAGTCAAGTAGTTAACCAGGTGAAATTGAAAGGTTCCCAGTTGTCCGTCAGCTGTTGTAATTAGCAGAGCACAATACATAGGTAACGGAAATGGTCCATTGCTACCAATCAAACTTTAAACAATCAAATATATACACACAAATTTTCCAAACATCATCTACTCCATCATCGGGGCAGGGGTGAGGTAGTACGAGACTTCTGATTGAGGGGTGTCATGTTTGATATCAATCCTCTTTCCTCTGTACCCACAAAGAGCGATTAGAGCTGTTCTTAGCATAGCAAATCTTATCCTCGTTCTTACATGCCTTACAGCTTACCTCTCCTTCCTTTTTCTGGCTGATTATAATTCAATCGAAACTGCATTTCTATTTTTTTATTGCAAACGCAATGAAATATACATCTAGTGTAACCAGCATGCTACAATGCATGTATGAAAGAACCCTCGTCCAAATACCGTATAAATACAGTCCATGCAAAGATGTTGAGTTTAATTTCTGCAGTTATTTGATTGATTGTCTCTTCACACAATTTATTGGTATACAAGATTCTTCTTCTTTATCTTTGATAAGACCACATCTTGGATACTGTATACAGTTGTGGAATCCATCTGCTGCTCATCGTAGTTGGCGGATCACCCTTGAGTTGGAAGCTGTCCAACGCCAATTCACACGGTTAATCGAGGGTATTGGCACCAGTGGCGTAACGTTGCCTGTTGGCGCCCCGCCAAAAAATTAGTTTAGAGTTACAGAAGTCTAATAGAATGTTGATATTGTCTTGCAAGGCCTTGGGACTTACGGAAAGTAGGACAAGATCGTCAACCCAGAGCAGATGTGATATTAGGACGTCAGCTAGAATAGGATAATCACCAACAGATTTTAGGAGAGATGACAAGTCGTTGATATAGATTTTTAAAAGGTCCGGTGACAGGGGGTGTCCCTGCTCTGTTCCTTTTCCAATGTCAATATTAGGGGACAAGAGTTTGGAGATTTTTATATGAGCTATTATAAATTGAGTTTCTATACATATCACTTAGGCAATTGGAGAAGTTTCCAGTTATTCCAAGGCATGTGATTTTGTGCAGAAGGAGGTCCTTACAAACAGTGTCAAAGGCCTTTCTTAGATCAACAAAGCATGCATAGAGGCAAGCTTTCTTAACCTTGGTATATTTGTCAATGACTGTCCTATGATATGTGATTCACAACAGCTGTAGTTAATAATAATCAAAATCTTTAGCTAGGATGCAGTGCGTTAGATCTGCACTTCTTTCTTCGCGTGCAAGGCATTTCCCTTTACGCTCCTTCTCTTCATCTACCATATCAGGTCAGTACATTTGATTAATAAGATATTTTAACTCTTAATATATTATAAATACTGACGGCCCCAACGTTAATGTGGCTGTTGAGTGTTGCTATGTGTTGGTTCAGCAAAATTAATTATTATATAATCAAGTTTATTTTTCTTGTGTAGTTAGTTGTCATTCGGCCACACGATAAGCAACTTATATTGCAGTACCTTTTTTCAATTAGTATATTAAAATATGTCATTGTAATTTTGCATGGCTGAAATGTAACACTTGATTTATATATTATATAGCTAGCTATACAAACAAAATTTTGGAATAGCTAGCTAGCTGTAGCTATGCGCCTGTTTCCACTCTAACATCTCCAAAAGTGCATTAATATGATCATTTCAACCTTACAATCCTAAAGGCAACTTTATCTGTGCTCAGCTATGTTTTGTTCGATAAGCTCCATTTTAATCGTTTCAATAATATCTAATTTTGTGTGAGTTTTTGACTTTGAATTGATAACACTTATTATATTATATATTTTTGAGTAAACATTGGCTGGTACTTCGGGCCGGTCCCCAACAAAAAAGTAATTAATTGAATTTTCAAACTCTTAAAAAATGTCTATTTTTTAATTTCCATCCTAAACTATTTTAGCAAAATATGATGACATATTTCAAACCTTTCAGATTCAGATTTGGTGGTCATAGGTTCCGGTCCTGGGGGTTATGTGGCTGCTATTAAAGCAGCTCAACTGGGCTTGAAGACTGTATGTGTCGAGAAGGGTGCTACGTTTGGAGGAACTTGTTTGAACGTGGGCTGCATCCCTAGCAAAGCTCTCCTTAATAATTCTCACTATTATCACGCAGCCAAGGTAAAAATAAGTACTAGCTTTTGGGTTTTCTATGTTTTTGCTACACAATGTAATAGGAATGAGCTATACAAGTGTAAAGTATTTTGTATTTTGTATTACATTATATTGTGGAAATTTCCGGCACATTTCCTGAATAATGAATTCTTAATGACAGTGAAATTTTATTACTTTCTAGTTTATCGAACATTTTCACAATGCCTAACATATAATCATGATTACAGACCGATTTTGCCAGCAGAGGGATAAAAGTTGAAAATGTAGAAGTTGACCTACCAGTTATGATGAAGGCAAAAGAAAACAGTGTCTCTGCTCTGACAGCAGGTTCATCTAATTTATATTTCAGAACATTAAAACTAACAACTAATTTGATGTGCTCTTTGAGCTTAAAATTTTATATAAAAATAATCTACATTCTACATGCCATTAAAATATATCATGTGCTCTATTAACTGTAATAAAAGCTGAATGAAATGTTTCCTTATACCACTAACATACAATTGTTTACTTTTGATTTGTGTAGCTATACTGACCTGTGAATATATCCAGGTATTGCTGGACTATTCAAGAAGAATGGGATCACATCAGTACACGGTCACGGGACAATTGTCACACCAAACCAGGTGATCGTTAAGAACAATGACGGGGGCAGGACGACAATCAACACTAAAAATATTCTCATTGCTACTGGTTCAGAAGTTACTCCCTTTCCTGGTATAGAGGTAATTTAACGTAGATCTGCATTCGGCGTCGTACCTCATGCTATTAATGTGGAGACGGAAGTAATCATTTGAATTTTATTTTTACTTGCTTGACTCAAGTTGCTTATTTTATCCAATATCCATGTATCAATATATAATGACCTGATAACAATCAACATTTCATGCATACATTCTGTACAGGTAGATGAAGAAACTATAGTGTCTTCAACCGGAGCACTGTCTCTAAAGGAAATCCCTAAGACACTTACACTAATAGGTGCTGGTGTTATCGGAGTTGAGCTGGGGTCGGTCTGGCAGCGGCTTGGTGCTAAGGTTAGCTCCAACATCAAACTTTCATTATTTACATTGATTTTCTCTTGATTCTACAATTATTCTTGTTCCAATCTCGAACAAATCTAGTGAAAACTGATTATAACTAAACTTCAAAGTTGTGTTAAAAGTGTTTTTAAAAGTATAAAATTACAATTTCAGGTCACAGCTGTAGAGTTTTTGGGTAATATTGGCGGTGTAGGGATTGATTTGGAGGTGGCTAAGAACTTCCAGAGATCCTTAGGTAAACAGGGCATGAAGTTTAAATTGAACACAAAGGTATTGTCAGCAGAAAGAACTCCTGAAGGCATTAAGGTACGTGGTCCCTGGCCCTCCATTAAGGTACGTGGTCCCTCCATTGAGGTATGACGATTGAAATCGCTCTGTCAATAATTTCCTGTAAAGTGCAGTTCTCTCAGCCGTCATATGTGTGCCTTCATTGTGCCCAGAAAATTCAATTAAATTGTTCATTATTAGTTGAAGAAGCCACTCCCTCCTATACCCTATAGCTACCCTATATTTGCGTCTTGTAATTCAACATTTATTTGAAACATTTTGGGTCACAGCACTTTCGCAAATTCTTACAATCGGAAAAATGTCGACATGTTTTTGTCATGATCTAGATGTAAAATTTTCAATCTTCGCCACTTTCGCCATTTGCTCCATTATCATCAATAAAATGATGTTATTTTCGCCGTTTTTCCTGTTTCTTCATTGTCTCTTCGAAGGCAAAACATTTAAAATATTTAAATGAATATTATGTCATAGTAGCCATCATCAGATTTGAAAATTGCCATCTTCTCCGCAAAAACGTTTATTAAACAAAGGATATTTATAAAGTTTCGACATTTAACATAATGTAATACTGTGAACCTTGCAGGTAAAAACAGAAAACAAGAAGGGCAAGATAGAGGAACTGGTATCAGACGTTGTCCTGGTATGTATAGGACGGCGGCCTTTCCTGGACGGTCTTGGACTGGATAACATTGGTGTTACAGTAGACAACAGAAGCAGAATCCCTGTCAATGAACGTTTCCAGACCAACATACCCAACATTTACGCCATTGGTAAGATTTTGAACTACTTAGCATTTATATTACTTAGCACTTACGTAAAACGCCCGCTCCCCTCTTTGCTTTATTAAAATCTAATCGTAGCTCACTACCGTCACATATCACTTAGTTCTAGCTTCCCTAGTATTAGTGGGTGACCCTCCATTATAGTAAACTGCTCGTCTGTGTGTCAATATATAATCGAGATAACACGATCCGTAAACTGCTTTACTTGACTCTTGATTATTAAATAAACTGCTAGATGCTTTTTGCTGTCCTAAGTTAAACCCTGGTGACAGATCTTGGTGTTCAGGTGACGTGATAGATGGTCCCATGTTAGCCCACAAGGCTGAAGACGAAGGTATTATCTGTGTAGAGGGTATGGTGGGTGGTGTACCTCACATTAACTACGACTGTGTTCCCAGTGTCATATACACTCATCCTGAGGTTGCTTGGGTTGGCAAGTCTGAGGAACAGGTCAAAGAATTGGGTATTCCTTACAAGGTAAGAGAAATCTAGGGGTCACTAATTGGTTCTTTCTTTTGATTGTTCGTGGCTTAAATGTTTGTTTTTAGAGATTGGACATTGTTATAGGTATCGCTGTCGCATTGCGATCAACCGTCATGACGGGTGTATTTTCATGATATTCGAACTGTTACTATATTATTATATTAACTTGACGATTTAATTAACATATGGTTTAAACTCGGCTTGGGTTACATAATTCAAAATTCATTTTAATCCAGTATCGCGAGAATCGAACCAAATTATTTGTTCGCTTACACAAATCTTCATTGGACGTGCTTTTAATAGCACACAGTATTTTCTGCAGATGCATATAATAAAACATTACTAGGTTACAACATAAATATATTCATGAACTCAAACATTTGTGATCCTCTTAATAATTTAACGTAGAATATTCCATATATATCTAAAGAAACCGGCATATAATAATATGTACATCTGTTACATAATATATGGATTCTTAGTTAAATTTTAAATATCTAAATGGATATAATAATCACATTTTGATTAGCAATCTCAGTAGACAAAGCTCGCTGGTCTTCATCCCCTTATTAGCCTTCCTTTCAGAAATCTTGGGATCCATAATTATTGCTTTTGTCATTTGAAGCCCTGAATATTGACTAATTGATGCACTGGAAGCTCTGCTCATTTGAAGCCTTTCGCGTTTTTAGATTTTCTGACGACTTTTCTGAATTTCTTTACGTTCCTTTTGTGTAAGTTTAGATTTGAGACCATATCACGTACTGATACTAGAGCACGCTTCAATTTATACAATAAATATTTTAGTATACAATTTCCCATACATTTCTTATACAATACAAGTTGAGAAATGATAGCTATTTAGTGGATTTCTTCATTCACGGTCTTTCGCCTATTTAAACTCAAATATATGTATAATATCCTAATGATTAATGTGCAATTATGCTAATAATTAACGTGTAATGGCCCGGTAATTAACGTGTAATAACCTTCTGTCAGATAGGAACATTCCCGATGGCAGCTAACAGCAGGAGTAAGACTAACATGGACACTGACGGTCTAGTTAAAGTAATCGCTCACAAGGATACTGACAGACTTCTGGGCATACACATCGTCTGCAGTGTGGTAAGTATTAGGAGTCAATTAAATTTATAATCATTTAACTTGGCCAGGCTGTCGGTTAGCTAGTTAGTCTGTAAATACGTCTGTCAGTTGTTCATTTTACAATTTACATGTCAGTTGTGTGTGTCTGGTGTTGTATCCTGTCAAACAATATCGGGGGTATGTTTGGTTTTCAGATGTTGACACTTGGTGTTCTTGACAAGATCTGTCACGTGACAAGATAAAGATCTGTCACGTGACAAGATGAAGATCTGTCACTTAAGCTCTGCCGACTGTCGAGTTAAAGCTTTAAAGGCCGCCTTGTGTGCCCTAATGCGAATGTAGGGAAGGCTGCATCTTGAATATTTTGTGAATACTATGCGAATATTGTACTCATTGTGAAATTAATGTCAATAATATCAATGCACTCATTGTATAAGTATCTCTGGAATTTCTACAAATTAACAGTACTAGAGAGTGCTTACTGTAGAATATAGTGCTAGGGACGAAGCCATTGGAAAGAAGGGAAACTTGTTGCACAAACTACACTAAAATAAACTCCAGCCCTGCGCTGGCTGCCAACTGCTCTAGATAAAAATGTTAGCACTTTAGCAGACGCAATGGCATGACTGGGGCTATGAAACACCGGTCACCTGTCTGTATCCGTATTGTTGTGGTGGTTGTCAATAACGACACTGCAGAGGACGTGGTAGTCTCTGGTATGTCTAGAATGTAAGGTTACCACACGCTACTTGTATAAAGTGTACAGATTAAGAGCATAATTAGACCTTGACTGGATAGACTATTATACTCCATACATTTTACGGTACATTATGTGAGATTTGTTCCGTTGCGTTGATTTGCGGGTTTTTTGTGCGATTTTCCCAGAATCCCACGCCTGTAATGTCATGCCGGTCAATTTAAACGATTTTCTTTCGTTTTATTTTGATTTGTATGTAACTATCAATTGCAAATTGCAATACTATCAATTGCAAATTGCAATACCTGCTAGGTGCTAAGTGATACTTTAGACAACCAAAATGCATCATTATATCATGGGAATTAGAGTTCTAACTCTGTAGTAATTAGCAATTGTAATTATGGATAGTTAACTACCATGTTAGCACAATTATCCACGAGTAATTAGTAATTAGTCATGGTAATGTGTCCGTATGATATTATACCCGTCATTATCAATATTAACAAGGGTAATTATCTACCGCATTATATTAAATATAATGAGATGTTAATATTATCATTACTTCAATCACGACTAAATCATTACTCATGATATATTTTTTCACTAATTCTCTCTTCCGGAATCCTAATATTATTCTTAATTGCACTCCTTAATACACTAAAACAACTAATGGTTGTGCGTACTACGTATGTATGTGCGTATACGAATCATTATTTCCATAATGGCCCAAATTTTGGCTGCATCTTCCGCTCTGAAGTATGAAATTGTATACAGCTGTACATATCAAGTCTAAATATAATAAAATAAGCTTTAATTTGTGGCTTCGTTCTGACGGCCAAAATAATGTATTTCCAGAACCACGCACAGTTCGCATATTGTTTAAAATAGACCATATTGTACCAAATCTTCCATTTTTACTGAACATGACGCCTAACTTGTTATGCTATATAATACTGCTGCGTTATACACTTTTATGCATAGTTTCCTTTCTCTGATAATCCAGCCGCCGTATAAAGCATGTAGTATAATTATGGAACATAGTTCTAATTCTTTTCTTCCACATTGTTGCACTCAGACATTTCACACTTTCTCTTAAAGTATGCAGTTATTTGTCCGGTGTTGGCTCTCTCTCTCTCTCTCTCTACAATTACAGTAGTTTGGTGGTGTCACGGAGTGCAACCATATAAGCATATATTACTACGACCAGGTGATAGTTGTATACACTAATATATATAATGAACTGTATCGTGATAGTTACTAAGTATATTCCACAACTGCTGACGTCATGTTGAAGTAGCTGTACAGCGCGCCACGACTGGCGTGTTAATATACCACCAAGTATTATATATATCAGCAGGATCTTTTAAAAAGGTCGCACTCGCACTGCGAATTGTTCAGTAAGATGCACGGTATCGAGCAGGGCTACACTACTGTATGGTTGTCATTGCTGCCGCTTTTTGTATAATATTCTCCACTATGCAATCCGGCCTTCGCATTTTTACATAATATATACACATAGAACATAATCAGGTTATATTATTGCGTTGTGACGTGTAATATTGCGTTGTGACGTGTGCCTCTTTTGCAATGGGTATGATGTTTGGACGGTATACCTTTGAAGGCTAACTTTTATCAAGTAAATAGTATTTTTTGATAGAACTACCAGTAAATAGTAGACTGTTGAATGGTAGACTCTTATTACTACTACTAGGTTCAAAGGTAAACCGGCCTACTTTACCATTTTAAAGCAGACTAAAATCTGCAAAGAATAAAGTCCTGGGTCCGTGCAATAAGTTTGCGTTATAATGTACTTTTAGTTTTCTGCTTTTGCTGCCTCGTGCAACCATATTTTGTAATATTGTGCGTAGTGTACTAAATTTCACAGTTGCAGTTTGTCAATTTATGTGTATACAACTACTGTCAGCACTTAATTGAAAAGAAAAAAACTGAACAATTGCAATGTACATGGGAAAATAGGTATTCTTTATTGCAGTCTATTGTATCCAATGCCAAATTGTTATTGCTGTACTTCATATTATCGAACTGTCTTATCATTATATCATGTCTTAATTTTATTACAATATTATACTGTTTGGTCACTATTATACCGCGTACTACTTATTGTTACTGTATTTAATCTGTGCCAATAGCCACTGTCCAAAAATTTAAACGACGTTTAGTTCAACATGTTTTTCAGTAGGCTCTCATTGCTTCATTGTGTACGATCAAACAGTTTACTCGTCTCATTCGTCCAAGTCTGTCAGTCTGTCTCACAAATATTAGTTTTTAGTTATTTCATATTTGAACTACGTTTGTGTGTCAGGTGTTTATAAATTGAGCCTTGTGGTTTTCGTTAAGTTAGAGATTACACTTTTTATGATTTGTCTTTTCACTTGAAAATATCCTACCCACAGGCAGGAGAACTTATAAACGAGGCAGCACTTGCGATGGAGTATGGCGCTTCGGCGGAGGACATCGCTCGCGTCTGTCACGCTCATCCCACCGTCAGCGAGGCGCTCAAAGAAGCTTGTGTAGCAGCTTACGCTGGCAAAGCTATTAATTTCTAATGACCAATTTTGGGTTCTTACTTTTTCTTCCACTTAATTTCCGAGATAGAGCACACCTTATACGGCGAGGTTTTTTTGTATAGAAATAACGTCTAATCAGCTAAAGATGTACGCTCCCAGAGTGTAGACGTTACAGTCCACCATCGAGCAGTTCTCCCTTCTTTATATTGGAAACTGATAACTTATTAGTTAGGTATATTGGCCAAGTGCGTCATGTCTAGATACTTATTAAACGATCTGCCACTCCGTTTTCAGATACCGATATATATGGACATTTTGGTGGTCTCTCTGCCCTGAAGTCAACTCCTGGCGTTTTTAGATCTGAAGTCTGATGAGCTCATGTTGAATAATTTACGATTGATTTTGAGTGTGCCATTTGTGTTTCTGCCTCTGTCATGTCGCCACGTTTATCATTCTGATTTGAGCGAGGGTACTCTGTGTCTTCTTCTGTTTAACAGATCATAACCCTGGAACTCCCCCAGAACTATCAAATCAGAGTAACTTGAACTTCATCAGAACATCATGCTAACTGATAGGCAGGTAGATCTGTAATCCTAACAGCTGATTGGCTGTCGGCTCTGTGGTTCTCACATATGATTGGTCAGTGCTTTCGCCAATTCTATAGTCCAGGGATGGGAGGAGTGGTGTAATTAGTTTGTGAGCTGGTGAGCACTTGTGATAGGATTAAACACACATGTATGATACCATTATATATAGTCTCCTTCTTTCTCTTCTGCTGGCTTTGATATTACTCTCATCACACGATGTCGTGCGCATTATCCCAAATAACCATAATTCTCTACTTACAACTAGATATTGTAGCCTCTGTGCTATAATTACAAATATTCTATCCATATTTATATCATGGATCTAATGTCGTCTGCCAGTTCCCTGTTATATTTATCAAGGATCTAATATTATCTGCCGATTCTCCTGCTCTCCTAGGTTATTGCTTCCAATTCTTATATTATATGTAACGCTGGACCTGCGATCATGCAAGTCATTGAACTGGTCCTGTAGTCAGTCTGTGTATCACGTGGTCAGTCTGTGTATCACGTGGTCAGCTTAGTGCTGAACTGATTAAGTAATTATACTCCAATTATTGTTTACTCAATCTCAACATTGAGTATTATATGCCTGGTGGTAATTGAATATAGATATCAGAGTCTCATATAATTCATAAAGTTGCTAAGACCCCGTAACGCCTGTTCTTACAAGTTCTTGATTTGCGTTGGTCGTCACGTTTTCGTTGGTTGCCATATATATAACTACCAAAGTTAAATATTTGTAAACCTTTTCTAAATAATGTGTCTAATAAATACTTTTTAATTTAATATTCGTTTTAGGATCATTATTCCATAGATGTTAGTTTAATTTAATTAATATTTTTTGGTGTCCAGAACCCCTGCCTCTCACTCTCAAATCAGACATTCGGACTGTAGCATAATTAAAATAGGGGAAATTGGGACACGTTATCATTTTGTAATTGCACAAGTCATCCGGTACTTAATTATTTAATAGATAATCAATTATAACGATTGTATCATACCATGTGTCATGTTCCTTCCACCTTAGTTCCAATGTTGTTATCCAAGCTGTTTATTTCAGATATCAATTAGAATTATAGTCTGTGGTTATCATGTCCATTGTTGGGCGTTCATTCGCATCTTGACCTCGCAAGACGTAGACATACCTCTCATTAATATCATGATTAACCAATTAAAATGACCATAATAATCAATCATCACTACATGTAATTATCCTACGATCGGGTAGATATGTGAGTATTATACCCAACATTGACCGGCGAACTGATAGCTACTTCAGAAGCAATGAAACTACAATCTTCTAGATAAAATGAGTCATAGTACTCATAGTACGGGTAGATATGTATTAGACTGCTGGTTTTATGACGGGTATCCTGATTCCTCACAGTCATTATGTGGTTTATGCGGAAGTCGTTAAATAACAGACTTGTCCGTGACCTGCATCACCAAACCTTGTAATGAGGCTTATTGAGACGCTTAGCCTGTACAAAATTTATCATATGATCTCTTTAAATTCTTTAATGTTTTGTTGCAAGGTTTAAATCCTGTGGTCTCCAACATGTTCTTGTCATATTTCATGAGTTTAGTTAACTTATTCAGTTACTGATGCCCATTACTTTCGCATACTGCTTTGAACCGCCTCTAAATTTAACAGAGTGTCTATTCTTCTCAAGAATCGTGACTCGGTTAAGTCCACCTGACCTCAACCAACCTACCAAGTAACGCTAAAAACCGTCCGCTATTATGTTTGTAGTTTAGCTCTTTATCTTTCCTCTATTCACTAAAGACTTGAACATGCGTCTTCTGTACTCGTCAAGCTGGCGAGCAGTTAAAGTTAGCCCTGTTCACGTGACCGTGACAAGTCCATTGGTTTATATTATGATATAGTATAGAATTGTGGTTTTCAATGAGCGATTGTGTTATGATGTGTCGTCAGCGGTAATTCTCATTCTCAGCTAATGTACACTTACATTCGTCACATATTTGAGCAGTTATCTCGCTCATTATTTAGCACATTATGCACTTTTAATTCGTGCCATTACGTGGGTCATACATAATGAAACAAGGAACGTCCTTCGTACTCACGGAAATTTCTTTTGTAACCCTTTTTCGTCTAGATTAGTGTCTAGACAGTCAACATCACGCACTGAAGATTTGAAACTTCAGCACATGTCGCTTGCACCAGATCCTTCTTAACTTTTGGGACTTTTTGATTTTGTACGACATCGCACGGGTTTGGCAGTGAGAGCATGGCCTCCAAATTTCAGGGGAGTTGACCAAGTGCAGAGTATGCCGTTAAAATATTTCATCGGTTGGTCTGGTCATTGTAAGGTCTGGACATTGTAAGCCGTCTCGTTATTCGTATTCAACCCTGACCTCAGCTCTTCAGCTGACCTGTTCTTTATTTAACCAGCTTTAAGTCGACCCTATTATATATGAGTAATGAATATGAATATGATGTACGACTGCATGATATTGTTTTAGAAAGATAAAGAGGGTTTGGTTAAATATATTTTTAGATCGGTTTGTAGACCTAGAAACTGCTTGTCCTTCGCTCGGTCGAAGTTTGAATTTTGTACCAAATGTTCAAGTTCTGTTATTTGGAATAATAATCAATTGTAATTTTTGATAAATTATTAAAATGCTTACCAATTTCTAGCTTTTGTTTGTGCATTGAGCAAATAAGCAATCAATATTTTGAGATATGTACGCTGTTTTTTCGTACTAATTTTGAAAACAAATCATGCACAACAATTTCAACTGGATACAAAATTCGAGAGTTGGGCGTTTCAGCTCAAGCACTGAAGTTATTTACTTGCTTACAGGTATCAAAATTCAACTCACACTTCTTTAAACTCACTCTTCTTTGCAGTTTACCAATTTCAACGATCAATTTAATTTAAATGATAGTCGAGTTGCAAAGCCCACTCTCTAAAACTGTAGCCACTCCTAATTTCTGTAGGGAACTGTTCAAATGCCAAATTTGGTTTTGTTCGTATTTTTAGAAATAAATTTTAATAGTTCGCGGTCTAACATGCCACCTGTTTAACCGATGAAACCTCAAATAGTGTCATGTGACGAAGAGATGTGCTACTCGCACTCTAACTTAGATGTGGCCCTTGTATGGAGAGCAATATAGCTGGTCTATATGACTTGGATAAAGTTTTAGGTGAGATACATATTATATATTCTGTCAAAAATGTTACATTTTTAGCAAGTATATTTTGGGAAATACTTGAATTAAAAAAAAACATCTTCACCCCTTTTATTTTGTCACACTTCTAAACTTTTTCTGATAATCTCTGTTCTATACAACTAAAACTTTTTGTCTGCAGGTAAAGGGCACTATGGAATAGTGCGACTAGCGCGCCATGTCTTCTCAGGGCAAATGGTCGCTGTCAAGGTGATAGACAAGACCAAGCTAGACCAGCGCGAGACAGACCATCTGCTGAAGGAGGTTTGTTAAAACGTGGATACTGGATAACCAAAGTCTAGACTCGTGTCCTTGCAGCTTTATGATATCATGTTACTGATCTAGCTGTGCAGTACCATAATGGTACCACTATAATATAATATCAGCTTTACTGAAAGTTCCTCGATAATTTAATGATTGTTCAACTAATCTCTCCCCTAACACAGGTACAATGTATGAAGCTAGTGCGGCATCCCAACGTGGTAAGGTTATATCACGTGATCACCACAAAGAACAAACTGTATCTGGTCCTGGAGCTGGGCAGTGGAGGTGACCTCCTGGACTACCTCAATAAAATGCCGGACGGGATCGGCGAGGAACGGACGCGGGAATACTTTGGTCAGATCATACGTGCTATCGCTTACTGCCATCATCTACACATCGTTCACAGAGATCTCAAACCCGAGAATATCATATTCAATGAGGATTACTCCGTACTCAAACTTACGGACTTTGGTTTTAGTAACGAGTTTTCGCCCGGTTAGTCTCAATTTGTGGTAAATTTTAGCTACTTTAAGTATAGTTTCGTAACTATTTCAACACTAACCATTTCATCTCGTAATATTGCATCACAAGATGACTCGCCCTTGCCAGTTTATTAAGTTATCTGCTGATATTACGTAAAAGCAGAGTTCTAGCTGCGTATATGGTATGAAATACTATAACTCCAGAACTTAGTTGCACTATCTGCCTGGGAACACTTTAAGTGTTACGTAAATTGAAGTATTATGGCAACTATGTGCGTCACTATTGGCAACAAAATTTAGCTTCTCCCAGTTTAAGTGGCTCTATTCTTGTATCATATATGGTTTTTAACGTTTTAAGGGGAGATACACCAAAACCGTTTTTGCTCTGAACATCGATTTTATTTTATATTATTTTTAAATAGACAAAAAGAATAAGATCGTACACCTTCAAAAATTTAAAAAAATATTCCCTCATCGAGAAAAAAAATATTTTTCTTTTTCGAAAATTTTTAAAATTTGGAGAAGTCTGTCACTGTAATACCGATAGTTCGGCCATTTAAAAAGTTTTTTGGCTGATTTTTTTACTGAACATTACTTACACTCCGTACTAGAAGCCATTGAAAGGATTACATAATTAAACAATAAATGACCAAGTTACAGACCGAACAAGGTGAAAAAAGAAAAATTGGGATTTTTGCCTATCACCAAAGTTGTACATTTCACCACCCGCCCAGGTCATCAGATATCGCTTCAAAAATTCTTGTGAGTGTAGTTGATGATCATGGCAAGCTTTTTGGAACCGGATTTCTCTCAATTTTGAGTTTTAAGCTATGCAATGTGGCCTCAAACGACTTAGTAAAATTCATCGTAAAAAAGGGCAAAAAAGGCAGATTTAAGGCTTAAAATGCCTATAACTCAAAAAGTATCAGTTTTTTTGAAATAATTTTTACAGGATCGTAATCAGCTTGGTAAGACGAATCTTTTAGTACGACATTTATAATATTCAAAGCCACAAAATTTGTAAAAAAATGTGTACAATTTGTACAAAATTTATACAAGGGGGGACCCTTGTGTTCGAGCTAGAAAATTATTTAAGACAATTTGTCTTCTAAAAGCACCTATTTGGTACTAAAAGATTCGTCTTACCAAGCTGATTACGATCCTGTAAAAATTATTTCAAAAAACTGACACTTTTTGAGTTATAGGCATTTTAAGCCTTAAATCTGCCTTTTTTGCCCTTTTTTACGATGAATTTTACTAAGTCGTTTGAGGCCACATTGCATAGCTTAAAACTCAAAATTGAGAGAAATCCGGTTCCAAAAAGCTTGCCATGATCATCAACTACACTCACAAGAATTTTTGAAGCGATATCTGATGACCTGGGCGGGTGGTGAAATGTACAACTTTGGTGATAGGCAAAAATCCCAATTTTTCTTTTTTCACCTTGTTCGGTCTGTAACTTGGTCATTTATTGTTTAATTATGTAATCCTTTCAATGGCTTCTAGTACGGAGTGTAAGTAATGTTCAGTAAAAAAATCAGCCAAAAAACTTTTTAAATGGCCGAACTATCGGTATTACAGTGACAGACTTCTCCAAATTTTAAAAATTTTCGAAAAAGAAAAATATTTTTTTTCTCGAGGAGGGAATATTTTTTAAAATTTTTGAAGGTGTACAATCTTATTCTTTTTGTCTATTTAAAAATAATATAAAATAAAATCGATGTTCGGAGCAAAAACGGTTTTGGTGTATCTCCCCTTAAATATATACTATATATATTGTAACCTGCAAGGTTAGATGGGCTGGGCAGGGCAGGAATGACTGCACAATTTTTTGAACACATAATTTAAGCCAAATATGGTGCACATTAAAAGAACCCAGATCCCCACATATTCTCGCTAGATCGTATAATCTAATACGTTGCAGGATGAAAATGCCTTCTAATCGGATCGTGACCCCAGTAAAAAATGTCGATCAAGATTTTAGCACGTCTAATGCAATCTATTGGTTAGAGAGTGGAGCTGTGCCCTTGTATAATGTTAATTATTGGCACCTTTAAGTTTAACAGCTGGTACTGCAGCAGGCTCAAATCTTCCAATTTTATGATAATCTTTACATTTAAATAATAGTCATTGTCAAGTTTGAACATGACCTGGTTGCTAAAATGGTTTAAAAATTAGCTGTGTGCGTTCATGCTATCACTTTGTATATTATTGTATAACCAACTCTTGAGTCTTGACTTGGTGGCAAAGAGGCTTAACCGTTGAGTGGAATGTTGTGCTGCATCAAAAATGGTCCTGTTTTAATTTTGTAACGTGCACACAATGTATGTTAGGATTGATACCACTGGTATTGAATTGTGGTGAATAACACCACTTACTTACACACTTATCTATAATTAGACGTATGTACATTTTAATACTTTTCCACCGAACATTCTAGATTATTCTCGGTTCTCTCAGGTGAGAAGCTGATGACGTACTGTGGATCTTGGAAATACTCCGCCCCGGAGATCCTGCTCCAGGAAGAGTATGATCCGCCAGCTGTAGATGTGTGGTCCCTGGGTGTCATGCTTTTCCAGATGGTGGCTGGCAGACTGCCCTTCTCAGAGGTTAACCAGAGTGAGACTCTCACCAAGGTACCACAATTTGCATTATAATTACGCGATCAACTGAATTTTTGATATCTTCGGTTTATAATGGAAGATATTCGTTCCTTATTCCCAAACTTCGGACTTTTGTTCAATGATAGGCGTTGTTTTTTGTTCTTCATAATTCATTGGATCTCTATTCTAATTTCATTGGACCTCTATTCTAATTTCACCCCGCAGATAATGGACGGGAGCTACGAAATGCCTGACGAGATTTCAGATGACCTCAAAGAGTAAGTTATGCAGCAAATTGAGCAGCAATGGCTCCCCAAATGAATGTTGATTTATCAAATACTTGCTAGATTTCCCAAGTACAGTCTCCACGACATATTATAAACCTATAATTAGGCGGTCCTTACAACTCGATATGATATAATTATATACCTGATCCCTACCTGACATTTAAAACCTATACAAGTCCCAAATATCGATCATGTGTTAAACAAAAGTGACGTCACACCCTCCAGTTTGTTATCCCGGATGATAGTGGTTGACCCAAAGGACCGGATCACGGTGGACGAGGTGCTGGCTCACCCCTGGTGCTCCAAAGTTAAAATAGGTGGACCTATCAACGGGCTCGTTCATGAGGTGATTACTAATTTTAGATCTAAATCATTTCAACACTGCACCACACCACTGAATGTCGTCAGTTTATTACCAAGAAGATATAAATATTCGTCTCCATTAGTTTACGTGGCTGACACTGTAAATGTATTTGGTAAATTCATTCCTAATTAATAGTCGAAAGAAGTAAGGTATGACTCTATCCTTGCCAAGATCTTCAAACCAAATGTATCGATATCGATGTACAGTGTCTAGTCACTTCGTTGGATGGGCGTGGGGTGTCTTACTGACCAATTATCAAATTTATAACATTTTTATTGCATTTAGAAACCGTAAATATTCACCCTGCTTTAAAGCCTCATAAGTCGTAACTCTTAATAATTCAGGTCGGTATAACTCCAGAAGAACACGAAAAAGTGGCTAAAATTCTATCTGATAACAAGATAGCAACTCGAGAGCTTCTGAAGAAATCGATAGATGCCAATAGTTACGATTATATCTCGGCTACATACCTACTTCTAGCGGAACAGGTTCGTATTGTGTACAGGGCTTCCTACACCCTGGCCCTGATTGTGTATGTGACCAATGTTTTTGTGAACGTCATGTGCTAAATACTTAAATATAATAATGAAACGGTTAAATCCGTCGCAATGTTCTAATTTTTCTGTTAAATTTCCGGCCCGAATTAACAGCTTTGTTTGGACACCCGCCCATTGAATGTTATAACAAGTCTTCCAGTCATGCTTACAAATATTCCCAGTCCTTAATTTCAAGACTAACATGAATATTCGAGAAGGCTAGAGGAGAAAGATTTTTGATCAATTTACAATTGAACCTTATCTTATATAAAATATATATCCCTGTTCTAACACCCTAACCCCAGTTGAAACAGAAGAGGATAAAAGAGGTGGTACATCAGATGGTGCCGGCTGTAGAGAGCATCAGTATAACTGACAAACGGCGTGGCAGTATGCCAGAAGCTAACGTTGATTTGCTCAACGACATCCGAACAAGGTTGGTACTTCCCGCCGTAATCAGAGATGCTCGAACTAGCAACGCAACAGTGAACAGATTATTTAGATGCCTACTTTTTTATCTTTCATTGACTTAATGGGTTAATAGTTACATGAAACCTGCTTGACTGCGAGCATGTTTACTATCTATTGCGACTAAATAATGGAAGTTTTAAAGTATTCTTTCGTAAATATGAAACTGAACCATTAAAAGGAGGAGAGACACCGTGGGGGGACCTTTGAACAGTCCCCGTAATAAAAGGGAAAACACACCCATCCCTGCAATGCAGTCACCTTCATTGCTATCGTGTAGCAATGCTTGTATCAGTTTCTTTTTAGAGTTGTGCGAAACGGGCAAAGGGTAACGTACAATAGAGTGGTTTGGTCTTTAGCTTTTCAACACTGATATGATCATTTCTCCCGCTTTAACTTTTCAACATTGATCATTTCTCCAGCTAATCAATTTGTTTTTTCTTCTTTGGCGGGTCCTCTTTTATCACTCAATACTCATCAACATTCAACATTGCCCCGCTGGGTTATCTATACTATACGGTACTCATAAACCGTAAATACTGTACTCATAAGCAAGGGTCGACCGAGTCCTCGGCCTCGGCCTCGGTTTTACCGAGGAATGGCGATTTTTCCTCGGCCTCGGCCTCGGCCTCGGTCAGGAGGACAATTCCTCGGTTCGCCTCGGCCTCGGTCAAAAATAGATTCGAAATTCCTCGGCCTCGGCGAAATTTGACGATTTTACCGAGGATTTGACCGAGGATTTTTGTAAGGTTTGTGAGGTTAATGTAAACGAATTTGTAAAATTGAAAATAAAACGACCAATTGACCAGGACACAAAACTAAAAATATCATAGTCTAAGATTCATCGTCTGATGAAATGACAATATCTGAGCACTCTGAATCAGAATAATCTTCTGTGCACAGCTCAGAAGAAGGGGGACAGTCCTCTTTATTTGGGGCTTCAAATTCATTTGGACAGGGGCCGAAGTTGTCCCCAAATGTTCCGATGTTCTTTTTGAGAAACAAGCACCCCTCAAAGTTTGTTGGCTTAAGGCTGAGGCGATTTAACTTCAGGATGTGCCCTGCTGTAGAAAACAATCTCTCTGGTGCTGCTGAGCTCGCCGGCGCAGATAGATATTTCCTTGAACGCTCAGCAAGGTTCGGATAGGGGTGGGCGACAATTGACCCCCCGACAATTGACCCCCCGAAAATTGACCCCCGACAATTTACCCCCCGACAATTGACCCACGGCTGACCTTGACCCTGACCCAGGACCCAGGACCCAGGACCCAGGACCCAGGACCCTGACCCTGACCCTGACCCTGACCCTGACCCTGACCCTGACCCTGACCCTGACCCTGACCCTGACCCTGACCCTAACCCTGACCCTGACCCTAACCCTAACCCTAACCCTGACCCAGGACCCGATCAATTGACCCCAGTGTAATTACATGGGGGTCAATTGTCGGGGGGTCAATTGTCGTACTAAACCCTAGATTTCGCGACAATTGACCCCAGTGTAATTACATAGGGGTCAATTGTCGGGGGGTCAATTGTCGGGGGGTCAATTGTCGGGGGTCAATTGTCGGGGGGTCAATTGTCGCGGTACCTCGGATAGCTCTGCTTATTAGCATGCCCACTCCTGACTCTTGGCGAACTTGCCCCTTCATAATGATTGTAACGTGTGTACACAGTATAGTACACAGTACAATCTGATTAGGTACAGTGCGCTTTTCCTAATAAACAATGCCCTTTTTCCCAACAATTTTTCTGCCAAAATTCCTCGGCCTCGGCCTCGGCCTCGGTCAAAATTTGCACTCCTCGGCCTCGGCCTCGGCCTCGGTCAAAAAAAGAAACCTCGGTTGTCCTCGGCCTCGGTCTTAACTAACTGTATTTTCCTCGGCCTCGGCCTCGGTCGAAAATCCTGCCCTCGGTCGACCCCTGCTCATAAGCATTGTAAATTGATCGCTTATTGCTTTACACTTTGTTTTCCGATACTTAGCTTCATTTGAGATATTTCCCAGAGTTTACTCTACTTGTAGCTTTGTGCCAAATCCATTATCCAGGCGTTTAATGCATCCGTTTCCATGATATAACTGCTATATTTTAAAAAATTTCTGCTGAATATGCTATGTAATGAATAATTGGAATATGTTTTGTTAATGAAGATTGATCCCCCCACAATAATCCGTTATTTGTCGCTACCTTTATCAGTTTGTCCTCGAAAAAGCACCAGTTACTGCGGCCTACCAGTTACTGCGGCAGTCCCTCAAAACAGCGCCGCAACCAAGTCCACCCGTACGGCGGTCAGGCCTACAACCTCGGCGGTCAAGCCGATAAACTGAGCGGTCAGGCTGTTTACCACGACAACAAACCAAATAGCCACGACGGTCACGCCGATGACCGCTGCAAATCTGGCAGCAGCGGCGGTGGTGGTGGGAGTTTTATTCGTAATGGTATTGCAAATGCCTGGGTAAAGTTTAGGTAATCATATGTTCTGATGGGTGGTCTGAGAAGGACTGATAGAATTTAGTGAGGCACTTTATGGTGACTAGTCACGTGTCATATTCTCACCTTCACGTCCTGTATACTCACCTTTTCCTCGTCTGGAAGTTGCTCCGGAAGTACTGAGGGAGAGTATTCTGAAATCTCGTAGAGAGGTCGTGATGTGTGCCCATTGATCCTTGACTGGTCTTACTCTGATTTCTGTCTCTTTTTTTTTGGGTGAAACTAATCTCTGGAAGTATCATGAAATGATTGTTCTTGAAGCACTTTTTGTAAAACTGTAAATTATTGCTACTCTCCGATTATCGGACATTTTCTTACAAAATACCCTCAGGCGCTGGCGAGGTAGGGATATACCCGAGAGTACCCGAGGGGAAACCACCGCCGACACAACCGCCGACACAACCACCTCGACAGCTTCTCCTAAAACAGTAACCGCAGTGGCTCCCACCCCCGAAGTGGCAGCTGCCCCCGCGACCACCTCCTCAAGTTCTAGGAGAAAACAAAACAAACACCACTACAGACTGGGGAGTCTCCGAACCAGTGGTAAGTCAGGCAGGAGCAATGGAAAGAGAGAAAAAGCTTCTTCTGTTGCCTGACTATTTCAGTTTGGGATCTGCTATTTTGATCATGAATATGATATATTGTGTTAATTTGGGTTCGGTGTTCATGATATGATGAATTTGCTGCTAAGCGATCATGGGTTTATGATACGTTGTTTTGAGCTTTCGCTTCAAGGCTGAAAATCTAACGCATGCTGCGCGACTTCGCTGAAAATGTTGATAAAAAATGTATCATATTTTATGAAAAAAAAGATTGATGATTTTACTGCAAACCCAAAGTGCGAGCTCCAAAATATAAGATAGTTGAGCTCACCCAAATGCGACCAAATACGGCGCCAGTAACCATAACGTGTCTTGTGCAGTGTTGATGAGACGTAAAAGGAATACAGGGCCCCATCTGATGCAGGGGCTGATGGAGAGGAGTTTTAAACACGTGGCTAGTATTGCTCTCCCTGTCAGGGACAAGGATTATAAGTTACTGATCAGAGGTAGCGTAGAACACTGTGTTAGCAGCTCTTTCTTAGTCGCCCAGGGTCCGGTCCCACCAAACTCGAGCTAGCACTCTCTAGCTAGCTCTCTTGCTAGCTCTCTGTACATAATTCACAATAAAGCTGTGAGCTGAAGTAGTTTATATTAACTATCAAGACCAATTAAACTATCAAGGTCTATTGTGGCACAACATCGATCTTCATTGCCCAAAATTCTTCGGAAAATCCATCAGTAATGTGCTCGCCTATCCTTGCCTATTTTGTATAATGTGTCATGGATCTAATTTCCATTAGCCAGAGCAGGTGGAACCAAGACCATGATCTACGGTTATTTCATAAGCATGTGCAGCCTAAAGCTCGTAGTACTCAGATTTGTATGTGAGCACAAGTGATTTGGGTTCTCAATGTGGGTATTGAAATTTGTGGGAGTTTCTAAAATTGTGTATACAAATTACAAATTACGGTATATAAATACAGACCTGTATTTATATACCGTAATTTGTTACCTGTAACGTAGCCAGGTTACAATACCTTGACTCTTATCACCTCTTATCACCTCTCGATAAAGATAAAAACCTTTTCCCGCCCTTGTTCAGCTACAATTTAAAGCATTTAACCTTTTAACCTTTAAATGTCAATGAGATTTAGTTGATGTTTAAATATAATCCTTATCAGCGTCTTCGAAGTCGGTTGATGGAGTTCAACCTAAAGTGAAAGATCTCGTTAAATTTTGGGATGTAATGAACAGTAAGCTAAGAATCCCCACAGTGATTACAAAAATACCGATTCATTACAAGCCAATAATAATTAGTCAAATCAACTTGACGAAGCAACTTTTCGCTGCCCATTTGTTCTTTCTGAAAGTTAACCTCTACAACAAATCATAATATTATCTTCTATTGATTCAGCCATCTCCTTACTTGGTCACTGTATCATAATATCATATTATCTGATAATATTAATATCATGTTTCATTATGAATTGGCCCTTACGTTTGCAAATTGCATGTTCAGTAATTATTTGATCAAAAGAACAACTATAGCCTAGAACGTTCGCCGTATACATTACAAAGTTACAATGCATTTGCACACTGGAGAGAATGAAAAGCCAAGTACACTAAACAGCCTATAACTCTATAATGCATTATATGATATTCATTACAGTTGTATCTTTGATATAATATGAATAATGTAAGTTATAACAAATGTATCAGCTCGGCTGCCCGTTCTAGTAATATGAGTTCTAGTGAGCGTCGTGGGGGAGTTGTCACGTGATGACACGTGATGTTCTGGTGATAGCTGTACTTCTCAGAAACGGGCGGTGTTTTATACCTTTACTAGCTGATGTACCACCTGATCTACAACCTTCAATCGTGTGCCCAGTCTAGTCAGAATAATGTTCATAACACCAGACCTGTTATAGATTGAATTGAGTTTATATCATGCTAATCACTCTTTCCTCTAGAACTTTCCGTAAAATGCTTGAATATTTAGTAGTTCAACTATCAGCTCCTACGCAGTACGCGAGGAAAATAAAGGGTTACTCTTATATTTTTACTGTTCACTTCGCCCTCACGCGTGCTCTATCGAGCACATTTCGGAAGATTTCAGTATAAAAAACGTGTTCACTATTTCAGGAGTTTGATAATTTTTGCATAGTCAGTAGAGTTGTCAGTACAGTGCAGTAGTCAGCACAGTATAAGTAGTCAGTACAGTGGTCAGTATAGTAGTCAGTCGATTAGTCACAGAGGAGTTATACATATATGTATATTATTTGTGCTTTTTAAGGGCCGTGATATCAATTGTTATAATATAGTAATCAGACTGATAAATTAGGATAGATATTGAGTTCTCCTGGTACTGTTGAGTATGTTTTTAAGACTAAACGCCTCTTCTACGTCATCAAGCATATCCATTTAAAACGCAAAAACTGCTTCTGACTACTTCAAACATCATTTGACTGGTTAGATTAATGTCATCATAATGTTTATGATAACAATATAACGTAATAATTGTCATGACGTAATCTGCAAATAAGGAGTTATCATATTAAAAGAAGGGATAACCTCTCCTAAAGATCAATCATGGTCAATGATCACGTTACTTAAGTTTTCACCTCAACATGTTGCTGGTAAAGATGTTGCGGTTAAATTGACGAGCGTCGCATGACCTACAAATTAATTAAAATATTCATGAGGTAAGTTGTTGAATAATTTCTTATTTCTCCGTGGTTGAAAACATGCAATTACACTTATTAATGTGTATTGTAGATCTGATAAATCTTCACTGTTCAGCCTACCGAAGAACCAGAAAATATTCAACTATAAAATTATAGAAATGTAACCACGCACTAATATACCGTTACATAGCGTAATCTTGAAGTTGAACGTTGGCTGTTGCAGTAAATATGTGTACTTGACGTACATTCCTTGTCACTTATCATGGTCTAAGAAACACTATCTCCATATTGAATTTTAGACATTAATTGAAGCATTCAGAATGAAAATATTCTGCGACTAAACTCAATTTTATATGGATCCATGCATCGAGACACGATGAAAGTGTACAATAGTTTCCAACATTCCACTACGCAAGCCCATTTTTATAATTATAAAATAAATAATCATAATTCATATGGAAGGAAGTTAGTTATTATCTTTTCTGACAAAAGTATAGCACATTCCGCAGATGATTAAACGATGTTTTCCTGACTCCTAACTGTTGATAATAATAATAGTATTCTGATTGCTGGTTCTATCTATATTCCTTGCGAATCGAGAAATAAAATGATCACCGATCAATTATCATCAATATTCAATATTCATTATTCATCTCATTTAAAAGTTTTTCAAGAAAATGCAAGTATTGTACGGGATATAGCAATTGAACTCCACAACTGCTCATATCATTAAAAAAAGGCAATTCTCATACATCTGTAAAGGCTTTCAAGAACCCATGCATTGACTTAATGGTAAAAACTTTACTATAACGCTCGCGCTACCACTTCTGATATAAAATAAACTGTTTATCAGTTTGTTTTATATCTAACACACGTAGTACTGATATAAGTAATGAGGATGAGATGAGCTTTATATGGTGTTCAGGGAATACTAAATACTGTTTAACAAGATATATCTTCACCGTCTTACGTGTACTACACAATATATCTTTTACTGCAATGAAGTTGTTAAACCTAGTTCAACTCTGTTTTGCGCTTCACTTCTGTAACCGTACGCGTAGAAGCTTCTGCCTTATACATGAACTTCTGTATCGTTGAAGTTAATTCTAGATTTAGAAATTATTAGTCTATTTTTAACGTTAAATCAACTGTGCCCCAGCTGTGCATCGACAGATTAACAAATTACCAAAACTAATAGATTGGGTTTTATAATAATACACTCACAATGAAATGTATCGCAGCTTCTCGAACATCAAACCTTTAACATTTGCCCTCAAATGTTAAGCCTCGAAATATACCCTCGAGGGACCTCGAACATTAAACCTTCTCGACGGTGACCTTTCAGAAGATTTAGCAGAAACCGAAGTCATGGGACGACAAAGGTCACACTCAGTTTGCGCATCTCATTTTCATGTCTTGTTTGAATATAACGTTAAGATATTCTGAAGAATCGAAGGCATGTATATTGAATTAATGTAGTATGTACTAGGTACTATGTACTATGTAGAATGCACTATGAACTATGTACTATGTAGTGTGCACCCTATATTTACCTCGCACAGCTGTAGAGTGTAGAGTATAAGCCCCTGAGCTGTAATATCCAGCACGTTACAAAGTTGCAGCTAAATTATAGTAGCTGACAACGGTCCGAGTTAGGGGTTTTATAGAGTTAATATCTCTTATTGTGTCTCGTCTAAATGGTGGAGAACTTAGTAGGTACTCTCGCTAGTTACATTGTTAACATTGCTAAATAGCCCCCTTATATATAATAGCTCAGCAAGACCTTTTTAAATTGAAACTCAATGGTGTATTTGAAGCATTAATTTTGCAAGCTTTATAAAGCGATCTTTAAAATTGAACTTTTACCTTCTCTTGATTATTATTTATCTCTTCGGCTTTAATAACCCTTTAATTTTGTACTTCAAGGGTTGAGCCATGATTTTTTATATATATAAATTATAATCAAAATCTTACCGGCTGCAGCAACAGCATAGATGAGAGATCTCGATATTCACAATAACTGTACCAATCCAAAGTTCCAAGAACCGTTCAAGTAACCGCTAATAACCACCAGGGAGCAGCTGCAGCGGCTCAGAGGAGGAACCCTCCAAATCTCCAACTCTCGGCGGCGACAAATTCCTGCGTGACGAGGACACCTTCTTTACGGGAAAGATGAAAGCGTCACCGAAGCGAACATCACGTCGAACTATTGCTTCGTTAAACATCCACGCAATAGGGTCGTCTTCAGATGACAGTGAGGACGAGGACACCAACTCTAATGGTGGCATATTCGACTCAGTGCCGCGCTCTAAGACTCTTACCAGGTAAGAACACTCTCCGGCTCTATTTTACCTGCTACATTTAGAAGTTGCCTACTTTTATATGGCTACTTTCAGTCTGTACACCATTCTCATTTTCTCAATTATCATATCCTAATTGGGTAACCCGAATAATTTCTGAGCTATATAAACATATTCCAAGCTGATGGCATGAAATACATAATTAGTGGGCCTGTACATATATTTACGAGCCCATGTACAGTGTACGCAACATAAAATCCTAACATTCCAATAAAAGTAAAAGACATGCTACATAACTATCTAGTATCGACTGTAGGTTGTTCTAAAAGACATGCTACATAACTATCTAGTATCGACTGTAGGTTGTTCTAAAAGACATGCTACATAACTATCTAGTATCGACTGTAGGTTGTTCTAAAAGACATGCTACATAACTATCTAGTATCGACTGTAGGTTGTTCTAAAAGACATGCTACATAACTATCTAATATCGACTGTAGGTTGTTCTAAAAGACATGCTACATAACTATCTAGTATCGACTGTAGGTTGTTCCGACGACCGACCCCTCCCTCTGGAGGACTTGTGAACATAGAAGAGGAGGAGGGTCCAGCAGACGAGGTTTATCTAGCTGCTAGCAAGTCTCAACCCAGTACTCTTAAGAAGAAGAGACATTCCCCCCTCACTGTATCTACTTCGCTGGAATCAGGTGAGTTAGTATTATCAGGGCCCCCTTGGTTTATACTTGTCAGGTTTGTTAGCATAGTTAATGGTGCAGGGCCCATGTTTTTCTTGCTTATTTAGTAATAAACCTCTATTGGTGTAAGAGGGTTTGTTCTAGAAGGACCATGGTGGTCCTTGAGAGGTGTGGTGGTTGGTACGTGACTACTCAGTACTCATTTTGGAGGTGATAATTTGTCAGAGATACTCAAAATATGTACATTTTGTGTACAAATGTTGTCATTGTAATTGAATGTGTGCATGATATGTGATGCTAGCACGTGCTAACGCTGCTGTGGCTTATATTAATTATTTAATCAAGTTAAAGGAACTGCCTTCACTTTAGAAATTCGTATATATATAACTCGAACAACAACCATGCCAAGATATAATGTATACATGTGGTTTGTGATGTGCCATGTGCAGATATACACTGTACAGTAAAGTGTGCTCACTGAAGCTCACAAAGCATAAATAAAAATGGGGCAAGAATTTAGAAAATTCTAGAATTTGGTCGGTTCTTATCTTTTAAATTTAGGAAATAACTCGCTGACGTTTCCAGAAGAGGCGAGTGACATGGTGTCCCCTCTGGCGACTCCTCTATGTGTTCAAAGGAAGAAGGAGACGGGCAAGGATGGTTCTAACCACTCATCTTTCTCATCCTCTGTTGAACTTAGTTCGGGTAAGAAGAAGAAGAGATAATCTTCTACATGCTAAAAACAGATTTGTGCTTCTTTTTAGAAAGTTCAATTTCATTGTAGAAGACTATGTTTTCAAGTAAAAATGCAAGTCTATTTATGAAAGCTATTTATAGATTTTGCAAACACTCTACCATAACATGCAACTTTCAGACGATTCTGAATTGGATTTAGCAAAACGGAAGAAACTTTCTGGGCTATCAAAACGAGATCGAAGCGCAGCTAAGAAAAGCCCAAGCAGCAACATGCTGGCTCTAGTCCAAGAGAAACTCCGTCACCTGGAAGCGAACTATAACCTGACGGAGAGGGAACCAGAACTCACATCTCCAACATCTCCAAGCAGCGTGCTGCCAAACATAGCCGAGTACACAAACGAACACACTGTCAAATACATCAGACATCCTGTTTACTGGAGTATTGAGGACATTGAGCGACACACAGATAACATAGAGTCCAATGGGAACGCGCGGTGTGATAACGCACCTGAGTTCCAGAGACTCACCTCGGACGATGGTCTACCTATTGAGATGTTTGGAAGTGTTAAGAGCACTATCTGCAGTGTCATGTGATGTGTGTCCTGGTCACGTGGTATGCTTATAATACCGTAGTTTCTGGATATTTATTGTACATTGCTACAGGGTTTATATTGATTCTCTGTATATCACGTAAAATGTAGATGTCTTGGGGCCCTTAACAAAGTTTTTTTATGAACTCACTGTATTCACATGGCTCTGTGGCTTGCCATTGTTTTATTTTATCATTCTCCGAATAAATAATAAAAGTTAAATAAGCATTTACAAGCTATGTTTATTCAACATTGATGTGTTATTTATCGTTGACAATTTTAGCAATGGTATAATTTTCAGGATTTCTGTCTCTGAACTTATCCGAGTTGAAAGAGTTATCGCTATATTGAATTAGTGGAGCACTAGTTAAATTGTTTAAATGGTCCGGAACGACACACCCATATCAGTGTTAATTATTTTTATTGTTTTTTTGTTTTCGTTTAGCAAATATTATTTTAGATGCAAGCTCTCCATTGCATACTATAAATTGCACTTGTACATTATTATACGATGTATACAAATTTTGCTTGCTTTATAAATGAGAACGGTGTGCCAATTTATTTGCCTGTTTCCCATCTGGGGGAGTTGTTTCGTCGACCCTAACCATGTTATTATCAAAATTTCGGGCAACAATTTTAGCTATGAATTTCCGCCATTTTGCAATTCATGGCGACAAATTTAGAGATGGTTCGGTAACTAGTCAGCTAATTTTGCCACTTATAAAAAAATTGGTGAGATTAATTTCCGACTTTTTCTGCCGCTTTATTCCAAAAATACCCAAAAGTCGATTCCGGAAATGGCGATGACACTCTCCCATCTGTCAAATATGCGGCATAGCTACACATATTACACATATTTCTGTACGCTGTACACTTAAGAGTACACCAAATGTGTTTGTATTATATATTGGGTTCCTTTTTAAGCTTTCAAATCATAAAAAGAAATGATATACAAGGTGCATTCTCTTTTATATATACATTTCGCTATAGTTAACTGCACCATTTTCCAAATTGATTAATTTTGATAAATCTATAGGCTTTGATTTGCTCAATTTTATCAATTTAGGCGAAGATAAGCGAATATAAAAGATATGAAGCTCGTGGGTGCCAATTTTTATCCTCTTTCCAATCTTAAAAGATTTCCGAATTTCAATCAATCAAAAAATGGAATTGATTTGTATCTACCTTACATTTAGACAATGAAATGATATGTATAAAGTGGTGAATAACACTTTTAATATTATTTGTTATATTAATTAATGTAGAAAATGAATGTTCCATTATCGAAACAGTTAGAGATAAGACGCTATGTTTGTTTGGATTAACTTTAATACTCGGAATGGATTAATGTGTAGTTTTCATACGATGTTCACTGCAATCTAGGAATCTTTCTTTGGCAGTATTGATCAAAGAAACATGAATGTATTCCATATTAGGAAAGTGTATGAGGATTCATAGATCTGTCATATTGTTGTTTGACCTTTTTTTCTCTCTACATCGGAGATATACAAGATAAATTGTAGGCAACGTTAGCATGCACTGGCTTCCTTTTTGCAATTACATGCAAAGTTCTGTCAATCGTTGTCAAAACTTACCACATAATAAAGCCAAGTTAAAGAAAGCGTACCATTAATTAGATTACCCGAGAAAATAGCCTTGTAAAATATATTCTATTTTTACAGTGCTTTCGTGAAGATCAGAGCGCATGTTTTTTGTGGCTATTTTTTGCGATATTGCACTCACCTGTCATGAATAGTGATTCATTTACATCAACTGGAAAATCTTCAAATTATTTGCTGGATGTGCCGAGGGCTATTATTTTACCCAGCAGCGAAAAATTTGAAGCGTTTGCAAGATATGGAGATATGGAAGATACGTAACGCGCGAACCGAGATATGTCGTTGCAACTTTTTCGCGCTAGCAATGTCTCGTTCACGTATGTCTACGTTACCTTGCTAGATGGATGGCTTTAATCTTTTGGATCGTAAGTATTGGACATATCGTCAGGCTTCTACTGAGTAAACATGTAATGTTGAGTGTATTATGTAATACAGCCAAATAAGTCACAATTTTGGACCAATGCAATTTCAACGGGAAGTGGTTGGGATGTGGGTCCCAGGAGTCAGCCAGAGAGATTCCAAAGAGATACACACAGTTACCACTTTCTTACCGCTCATGTTCCACTTTCTGCTTCTGAACATTGTAGATACCTCCAAATTGGCATAATGTAAACGAAGGGGATCACCCTTAATCTGTTACAATTGTATTTGGATGGGAAAAGCGAGCGACCGATTTCATTATCGGTATCATTTTACATTTGCGGACGGTTATTTGTTATTCAAATTAATCATTAATATCATTTCCTTTTGTTTGGCATTTGGGAAAGAGAGACACTGGCAGCGGTCCACTTGCCACTCTACCCATGATTATAAGGGGTCGTTCACATATTGCGTAATCAGCCGAGGGGGAGGGAGGTTTCCAAATGCTTACGGGGGAGGGGGGTTTTGGTCGTTGATTACGTAATATCATCATTTTATTTTTATCCTCTAGAATAATAACAATTTTACAATATTTTAATTCAAATTCCACTCAATTTCACTCTGATAGTGATAAAATTTAGAAATTGATCGAATATCCGGCTATAAGGGGTCGTTCACATATTACGTAATCAGCCGAGGGGGGGGTTTTCAAATGCTTACGGTTGATAACGGAGGGGGGTACCAATGGCATAAATGGCATAATGGAGAATTGGCCAAACAAAATTTCCATTTATGCCATGAAATTTCTATGCCATTTGATGAATTTTATGCCATTTGTCTCCATTCTATGCCATTCAAAATATTAAATTTTAAAACTTTGAACTGAGAATTTAATAACGAATAGTCTGCACCCCACTAGTACTGTCACCTTTATCTCTATTTGTTGTACTGACCCTGGTCATTAGAAACACCCCTAAAAGTTCGTTTTTTGACAAAAAATTTAAAACTTCTGTAATTTCATTTCTGTTTTAGTTACGCATTTGATTTTTGGTATGCGTATAGAAAATCGATACGGCTTTAAAATGAGATGTTCGGCGACCTCCTAGCTCACTCACTAGACTCAGTAGGAGTGATTTAACTGCGAGGGACAATTGAGGCTAACAAATTAGCCTCACCACTTTCAAAAAAGAACTTTCTCATGTTACGTCCATGATATTCAAGTTGCAAGTATAATCCATATTACCTGGGGACCTCAGGCTATTATGTTCATAAACATAGAGATTATGTTCATAAACATAGAGATTCGGCGGAATGACAGGCTGAGCGCGGCCCAGTAAAATCCATAGTGATTATACTTGATCGAGATCTAAGCTTTAAATATTCGAGGTGAAAATGAGGCTAACCACCTTTTGAGAGGGTGAAATGAGGCTAACAAGTATACTTTTGTGTATATTTTCGAGTTGGTTCGGTATTGTGACTATCTAATATGTCAACAATAAAGATTGATTCATCCTCTTCAAACTCAACATTTCAGAAATCGCCGAGTCTACTTGTAGGAGGCCAAAATGAGGCTAATAAATAATTCGACCGCATTTTAACTTTAATGTACGGAAACAGGTTAACAGCTCACACGTTACTTGATATCCATGTTGCACATGAAATTCCTTGGGATTATATTTATAATCGGTATTTAAGCTTCAAATATTCGAGGTGAAAATGAGGCTAACCACCTTTTGAGAGGGTGAAATGAGGCTAACAAGTATACTTTTGTGTATATTTTCGAGTTGGTTCGGTATTGTGACTATCTAATACGTCAACAATAAAGATTGATTCATCCTCTTCAAACTTCACATTTCAGAAATCGCCGAGTCTACTTGTAGGAGGCCAAAATGAGGCTAATAAAAAATTCGACCGCATTTTAACTTTAATGTACGGAAACAGGTTAACAACTCACAAGTTACTTGATATCTATGTTGCACATGAAATTCCGTCGGATTATAGCTTCAAATTTTCGAGGTGAAAATGAGGCTAACCACCTTGTGAGAGGGTGAAATGAGGCTAACAAGTATACTTTTGTGTATATTTTCGAGCATGTTCGGTATTGTGACTATCTAATGTGTCAACAATAAAAATTTATTCATCCTCTTCAAGCTCAACATTTCAGAAATCGCAGAGTCTTCTTGTAGGAGGCCAAAATGAGGCTAATAAATGATTCGACCGCATTTTAAGTTGTAACTTTATCGTACGGAAACATGTTATAGACCCACTATAAAACTTGTAATTGTAGCCCGAAGGTTATTGAGACTTTATCGAAACTTATGTGAGGTTGGATTGAGGCTACCTTCCCTCCTTGAGGCAAAATTGAGGCTAACAGATACACTACGCAGACAATTGTCACTGTGCCAGCTATCAAGTAGTTGCTGAGCAGCAGCAGCAGTTAGATGAAGAAAATGAAGTTGAGGAAGGAAATGTATTAGAGCTGTTGGCTAGAGTAGGCCCCTTACTTCTATGGAGCTCTCTGGCCAATTGCTCTGGCAATGCTCTCCATGGGGCCATGTAATAGCACATGATCTGATATCATGCCAAATTAGACTCTAAACTATAAAGTATAATAAAAATGGAACTGTTTGAGAAAAAACATTTTTCGTTACTTGGAAAGAGAATACTTACTCAGCTGTCAGCATAACGAATCAGACGTACCTTGATCTTATATGTTGTATGTACTTGTGAGTTGTGACGGTCTTGTTTTGTATTTAACTCTGCTGAAGAAGCAATTCCCTAATGCTGAAATCGTCACTTATTACCTTGGAAGTGATCAGAATGAGCAGCTGTTTGCATTTATTCGGGTTTCTTTTTCATCTGGTCGCTCAAGAAATATGGATGCGATAACTATGGCCCATGGAATGGAGAGAAAGAATGTGTACAGTGCTTTATCATTACATGAAGACACATCTGCAATTGCACATGCACGTGGAAGTACAGTTTTGCATCCTACAGTTCACCTCAAAAAGGTTAAATCTACAGGCCAGAAAGCAGAACGAGTGAAATGGACTGGTGGTATGATAAGCCTAGGTAAGTTGGCAAAAACGCTGGACAGGGCATCGAGGGACTGCATTCGAGAAGGGAAAAGAAACAATTTCCCTGTGTTCGCCGCAGTCGCAGATCCTGAAGAACGGAGTGGGAAGCCAATCGTCCATGGCCAAGTACTTTCTTGGGAAGCTGTAGATGATGAAGCTGGATGCCTCGGGGATGAGGACGACTTAGCTTATGAGGTAGAACCTGGAGTTGATGATTGTGATGATGGAGAAACGATATCAACAGATAAATATGGAACACTATCCTTCCGGTCTTTTGAGACACTCACGCTCAATGGAGGAAGAAGCACTTTATCAACAAAATCTCGTCTTTCAAGATTCAAGGGGGACGCGTTTGGAGTGTCTTCTGATGTTCGCATATACAATCAACCTGAATGCGGATGTTCAACAGTTTTAAAAGCTGGCAGTACAGAAACTCTTAAAGTCTTCAAATCTCAGCATGACTTTGCAACAGGAGTGGTTAGATTTATTTCTTATAAGTCATGCCCCATGAAGTACTACTGCCAGGAACATAGCCTAATCAATGGATCTCCTAATGTTTGGCTACTCGTCGAAGACAAATACATCAGATGCATTGTTCCTTGATGACATTCAAAATCGTTGAGTTGTCAATGTTTGTATTCTGTACATTTTGAACATCTCACAATTTGCTTTTCTTGAATAGTGAAATGTTTGGTATATATTTGATATAATAATACATTTCTATTTTCTTTATTTGTCATAATCATATGAATCTTTGACTTTAACGATCATTCCAAGCGTTATAAAGCATGAAACATGTCTCTTATTCAAGTACTAATAATATTTGCGAATTTAAAGTCATCCTAAAGGTCAAATATGAAGACCTAAATTCATGGCATAAATTGGCATAAATGGAGAATTGGCCAAACAAAATTTCCATTTATGCCATGAAATTTCTATGCCATTTGATGAATTTTATGCCATTTGTCTCCATTCTATGCCATTGGTACCCCCCCTAACGGAGGGGGAGGGGGTTTTGGTCGTTGATTACGTAATCAAAATTTTAATTTTTTACCGATTTTCGAAATACCAATTGGACAATTTTCGTTAATTATGAAATCAACATTTTCGTTTAGTAAGTGCTTTGCGATAATTTCATTCATTAATCCGTTGGGGGGGGGGGGGGGGTGTCTAATCTTGATTACGTAATATAGGAGAGGGGTTGGGTCTTGACTATAACGGGGGGGGGGGGGGGGTCAAACCTTGATTACGTAATATGGGGGGGGGGGGGGTTCGGTCTTGATTACGGTTGA